CGAAAGAGTACTGTGAGTTTTGATGGCCCTGGAAGAACAGTGGACTGATCGCTATAGGTATTGTATCTTCTGTTTTCTCAACATTCCGTGTTTCTCTTTCCATTAATATATTGCTTACTTTGTTGTTTCGGTGTAAAGCTTTTGTGCTTTTGTTTTCTTTGGGTGTATGTCCGTTTCCGTTTTTGCGGCATTGCTTGTACATGGTGCAGGTAAGTGAAAGACTATTTGTTTTATCTTCTGTACTATCATTATTTAGTGTCGTTAATCTTTTTTATATATATTTTCATTGACATCACATACCAGTAAATATGTGGTGTTGATGATGAATGACTGATTTTCTTCCTTAAATCGTGTTTGTTAGTGATTTTTCCATTTTTTCTCTGTTAAACCCACTCTTATCATTGCATATGGAGTGAAAGTCTCCTCTCTACCTTTTTTTTTCTGATGACTACCTGAAATTGTTCTGCGGTCAGAATGCGGTGTAGATATCTACGTATTTTATGACTGGGAGATCTGTTATCCCTATATTCCTATGTTGCTCTTTATTAACTCCTTCTTTATTTTCATATTCCGCTCTCTCTCTCTCTCTCTCTTCATCTGCTATTTCTATCCATAAGCACGTGCCCTGTGGCTTACATTAGACTTTAGAGCATCCAGGGCTACGAAATATCTGCGACAGGCACCCCTTAGCCTCACCCCACACCCGTACTGGTACAACAGTATCCAACCCCAGCAGAGTAGGGGAACATATCAATATAATAGTTTAGATACGGATGGCCACTGCTGAAGTTATTGGTATAGTGATAACATTCAGTGTACTACTGGTACTCGTTTTTCTGGTTTTCTTCTTTGCTTTCTTAACATCTCGCCTCAATCATTATGATCGCGAAGAACGCCTTTACCAGGAACGCCAACGGCAGCGGGAACGTGCGTTGACACGCGAAGAAGAACGTCTGCGATTACGACAACAGTTACTAAAGCGTGCGGTGGAACGCCTTGTGGCTCGCGATGTTGCGTGCGAAGGTGTCCCACTAGCAACGGAGGTAAATGGAGTGGAGGTGTTGGCAGACTACCCACTGCGCAGTCAACGAACACGCTCACCTAATGGTCCTGGACGTCCAATGGTGCAACTCGAAAATGGCACAGCAGTGACAGTAACGGAATTTGTTGCAGAAGTGCGGGCAAATGGACGGCCAGCAGAGGCATTACCCGGGCCCACGTTACTACACATGTTGCATAAGATCAACCGGCAGCTGAAAGAGCAACAGCAAAACGAAGATGGAGGGGAGCGACGCATTTCAGTAGTTGAAGTTGTGTATGAGCAGCTTCAGCAGCTGGATCAAGAAGAGGAGAAAGAGGCAGAAGAGAAGCAAATTGCGGAGAGAGAGGCGATACCCGATGCGGATGAAGTGTATGGGAAGGGTCTGCCGTATGTGTTGAACCCCGCCAATGCGGAGATTGTCTATATTCTGGATAACCCGGAAGAGAATCAGGAAGAGGAAGAGAGAGACTATCAGCGTCACCAGGAGCGGCGGAGCAGCATGAAGACACTGGAGTGGATACTAACCCCACTGCTGAGACGCAGGAGTAGTGCGAGTTCTGATAACCCTGAGAGGTCAGTTGACTGATTGGTGAAAATGTTAAATATGTTTTTTTTTTTCTTTGTTACTGTTTTTTTTTTTTTTTGTTGAAATGTATGAGCACTCTTTCACTTCGCTTCACTGTGTATTTTTGTGCATTTTTTTATGTATGGTATAATATTCAACAGTATATTAATTCCACTTGTGTTGTATGCCAAAGGCAAGGAAATGTATGTTATGTCTTTATTTGTCTTTATGACAGCAATTTAATGATGTCTTTATCATCGGTTATTTGCATGCTTTTTAACGGGTATATAGTTTTTGTATACTCCTGTCCCCCCGTTATCACTACCTCAGTATATGTTTTTAAAGTTCTCTTTCCCATACTATATGTTCCTTTTTCTATATTGGGTGAAAGTGTCCTCTCTACCTTTTTTTTCTTCTACAGACCCCCTGATGATTATCTTGGGTCAGTATAGGGTGTGGATATCTACTTGTTTTATGACTGGGAGATATGTTATCCCTATATATTCCTATTTCTCTCTTTATTAACTCCTTCTTTATTTTCATATTCCACTCTCTCTCTGCTATTATTCTCTCTCTCTCTCTCTCTCTCTCTCTCTGCTATTTCTATCCATAAGCACGTGCCCTGTGGCTTACATTAGACTTTAGAGCATCCAGGTGTACGAAATATCTGCGACAGGCACCTCTTAGCCTCACCCCACACCCGTACTGGTACAACAGTATCCAACCCCAGCAGGGTAGGCGTACATATCGATAAAATAGTATATAGATACGGATGATTACTTTCTCTGCCACACCTGTTTTGGTGGTTGTAATTGCACTACTAATTCTTCTCGTCGTTATGTCTACCTGTACGTTCTTGTCCCGTCGCTTGAGCCACTTGAGGAACGAAGAACGCGCCTACGAAGAACGCCAACGTCTACGTAACCCTGCTCAGTCAACCGAAGAGGAGCGTCAGCGATTACGACAACGATTACTTCGGCATGCGGTGGATCGCATAGTGGCGTCCGGTGCTGCGGAAAAGGGCATCCCACTAGTATCAGAGGCGCAAGGAGCGGAAGTGTTGGCAGACCGCCCACTGCGCAGTCAACGAACACGTTCACCTAATGGTCCTGGACGTCCAATGGTGCGGCTTGACAACGGCACAGCAGTAACAGTAACGGAATTTGTTGCTGGAGTGCGGGCAAATGGGCCGCCACCAGACGCATTGCCTGGGCCCACGATACTGCAGATGTTGCATGATATTCAGCAACAGGAACGAGAGTGGCAAAGTGATGTAGGGGAGGCGCAACATACTGTGGCCCCTGATGTACTGTGGGAGGAGCTTCATCAGCTGGATGAGGAAGACGAAAGAGAAGCAGAAGAGAAGCGAAGGGCGGAGAGAGAGGCACTGCCCGATGCAGAGGAAGTGTATGGGAAGGGTCTGCCGTACGTGTTAAATCCCGCCAATGCGGAGACTGTCTATATTCTCGATAGCCAGGGAGAGAACCAGAAAGAGGAAGAGAGAGACCATCAGCGTCACCTGGAGCGGAAGAACACCATGAAGACACTGGAGTGGATACTAACTCCACTGCTAAAGCGAAAGAATAGTGTGGATTTTGATAACCCTGGAAGAACGGTGGACTAATCGCTGAAGATCTTATATCTGCTATTTTTTCCCCCATGTTTCTTGCTTTATTTCATTATTTTGTTCTTTTCTGCTATGTTTTCTAATTGTGTAAGTAGTTATCTGAATAGGCCAAGTTGATTTTTCCAACCCTACATTCTGGAATTATTTAATAGAAATTTTTTTGTTATCATTATTGTTGTTATTTTTGTTTTTTTCTATGTTTTACGTATTTCTTATTACATGTAGCGTGACTTTTTCTCATTTCTACTTATGGGGTGAACGTGACCACTCTACCATTATCACTATTTTATTACACTTGCTGAGGATAATATGGGGTCAGAATGCGGTGTAGATATCTACTTTTTTTATGACTGGGAGATCTGTTATCCCTATATTCCTATGTTGCTCTTTATTAACTCCTTCTTTATTTTCATATTCCTCTCTCTTTATCTGCTATTTCTATCCATAAGCACGTGCCCTGTGGCTTACATTAGACTTTAGAGCATCCAGGTGTACGAAATATCTGCGACAGGCACCCCTTAGCCTCACCCCACACCCGTACTGGTACAACAGTATCCAACCCCAGCAGAGTAGGGGAACATATCAATAGAATAGTATACACAGAAATGCCCACTACTGTGAATGCCATTGTTGTAACGTTTGTAGTGCTTCTTATACTTCTCGTCGCTGTCTTCACCATGTCGTTCGTGGCGCGTCGCTTGAGGCACTTGAGGAACGAACAACGCAGCCACGAAGAACGCCAACGTCTACGTAACCATGCACTGTCAACCGAAGAAGAACGTCAGCGATCACGACAACGGTTACTCCATCGTGCGGTGGATCGCATAGTGGATCGTGGTGCTGCGTGCGAAGGTGTCGCACTAGCAACAGAGGCGCGTGGAACAGAGGTGTTGGCAGACCGCCCAATGCAAAGGCGACGAACACGCATACCTAATAGCCCTGGACGTCCAATGGTGCAACTCGAAAATGGCACAGCAGCGACAGTAGCGGAATTTGTTGCTGGAGTGCGAGCCAATGGGCCGCCACCAGACGCATTACCTGCGCCCACGGTACTGCAGATGTTGCATGATATTCAGCAACAGGAACGAGAGCGACAAAATAGTGGAGGGGCGCAAAATACTCGAGTCACTGATGCGCTGTGGGAGGAGCTTCGGCAGCTGGATGAGGACGAGGAGAGAGAAGCAGAAGAGAAGCGAGAGGCGGAGAGAGAGGCGATACCCGATGCTGATGAAGTGTATGGAAAGGGTCTGCCGTACGTGTTAAATCCCGCCAATGCGGAGATTGTCTATATTCTCGATAACCCGGGAGAGAATCAGGAAGAGAACCAGGAAGAGAGAGACTATCAGCGTCACCAGGAGCGGCAGAGCAGCATAATATCACTGGATTGGATTCTAACCCCACTGCTTAAGCGAAAGAGTACTGTGAGTTTTGATGGCCCTGGAAGAACAGTGGACTAGTCGCTGAAGATCTTATATCTTCTGTTTTCTCAACATTCCGTGTTTCTCTTTCCATTAATATATTGCTTTATTTATTGTTTCGGTGTAAAGCTTCTGTGTTCTCTTATTTTTGTATTGATGTCTTTTTTTTTCGTTTTACTTCTTTATCTGTACATGGTACAGTTATGTGCGAGAGTTTTATGTTTCATGCTCTATATTATCATGTTTTATTGACCTTAATGATGTCTTCACGTTTTTTTGTTGTTTTGATCGTTCGTTTTTGTCTGTGAGAGCACTTAGCACTCCTCCTTTTCTATGAGCAGCAAGGGTATTCTAAGTGTGTAATTATGACCCTGCGATGGCGTGCGTTGTAAATATTTTTTTACTTTGAACGTTCGTTTTTTTTTTTAATTCTAATTTTCTTTTTTTCCGTATTTGTTTTGTTGCGTTGAATTATTTGTCTATAGAATATTTACAGTATTTGTTGCTAGTCTTTGAAGCTAGCGGGAGGTGGGTGGGGTGGCTTTTATTGTGTATAATTGATTTACTTCTTTTTATATATATCTTTCATTAAGACTTCTCTTTGTTCTTCTTTTTTTTTCTTTCTTTTACTTTTGGAAGAAGCAGAGAGAAGAAGAACTTTGGCCTTCGTATTGCAAGTCATGGCTGCTATTTTTGTGGTTTTTATCTTTGTTGGTTTTTTGCTTTGTGGGGTGCTGTTTATCCTCGCACGCCGGCGATTTTTGGCCCTTCGACGACAGCAACAACAACAACAAGAAGGGATTTTCGCAGCGCAGAGTGTGACGTTGGAGGATCTCTCCCCACCCCGACAACGGCAAGGTGATATTTCTACACCAGACCATCAAAGGAATACCAAACGCAATAGAAATAACAGAGCAAATAACAATGGGCATAATGTGGAGAATGGGAATGGGAATGAGGAAGAGGAGGAGATTTATGATGGTTTAGATTATGCTGGGGAAGTAAATGCTGCTGTTGTCCTGCGTCACCGTTTTGATATGCCAAATCCGCCTCGTCATCGTCATCACGTCCATCATCGAGAAGTATTGCATCAGCCTAGTAACCAGCGTGATCATAGTAACAGGAACAATAGTAATAATGATAATAATGGTAGTAGTAGTAGTAGTAGTACGGATAGTGATATTGACCCTGTGGCTCTGCGGCAGAAGCCGTTGGAGGAGGAAGTGGAAACGGAGGAGATGCGAGTATTGCGGGAGTGTGCCGTTGTGGGTGTTGTTCTTCGCGGTGAGGAGGAAATGCCGCCGCCGCCGGTGGCTCGACCGCGTGGTGGTGTTATTTATCGTATGCCGCGATCTGCCTTTACCCCAACACCATTAACACTCACACGCAGTCTAACACCCTCACCCGCAAGTTCACATCTCACACATGCAACAGAGGAACCGCAACAGCATGCCATTAGTGGTGGTAGTGGTAGTGGTGGGATGACCACTGCAGGGAGTTATCTGAATTTCAGTCATCCGACTACACCTCTTCATACTGCTGCAAGAGGATTGGATTCCACTCTGACATCTCAAGATAATGGTAATACCATTGGTGTGGTCTCATCTAGGAAGAAACGGGTGAGAAAAGATAGTGCTTTGGTGTATGGACAGGCCGCATATACTGGGGAATCACCTGAGGAAATGTTTATGCAGACAACCGGTATGAATAAAGATTTTAAAGGGGAATCTGCAACCTCCTTTGAAAACCTAGTAGGAGGAGGAGGAGGAGAACAAGGAGGTACTGTTTTGTTTCCTAAAAATAAAACTATACAGGGATGTATGGATACTACTAAACCAACCCTACAAACAACAGCAGCAGTAGAAGCAGGAGTGGGAATAACTCCAAGTGTATACAGTAACAACAACAACAACAACAGCAATGGTATTGCCATGAATTTCAATAATTTCATGGGTGGTAGACCTCCTCTACAATCTCTCAACACAGTAGTAGGAAGTAGTACCTATCATGGTAATGGCGGCAGTAATACAAATGGTGAGAAGGATGCTCGTGTGTTTGGGGTCAGTGTTAATTCCCAACGAACATCGCAGTTTAGTCATGATAATGATAATAATGATAATGATGATGAGATGTCACGTCCACCGCCTTTTGGGGCCTCTGCAGCCACAGCCGCCCCAACCGTCCATGATGCCTTTGCTGTTCTCATGGCAGATACACCGTCATCATGTGAACAAGCGAGAAGTCCATTCTTTATGTTTGGAAATAGTGATAATAATAATAATAATGACAGTACGACGAGCCACACCAGACAATTGAGTACATAACAGCTGTGGGGAAAAGAAAGAAAAAGAATAATGCTGGAGAAGAAAGGAAGGGAAAAAGGGAGTAAATGCGTAAATGAGTGAATTAGCAAGTATATATATATATATATATATATATATATATATATCCTTGTATATGTGTATAGGAGATAAAGAGTTTAGGGAACTTGACAGTTAGCAATTAGAACCCTTGTTTATCACACCATTTTTTGCGGGATGGTTTTTTTAGTTACTTTTATTATTTTTTATTTGTTTTTATTTATATATTCTCTTTTTTTTTCTGCATTAAAAAAAAAAGATACTGTATTCTGTCTTTTGGTTCAAGTAACCAACGGAATTGTAGTATCTCAGTGCCACTCATCCTCATGACTTTAAAATAATAATAATAAGACGAAATAAATAGTAAACACAAGAGAAAAATGAATATCTTTTAATGTGATGTCATTTCACTATCTCTACTGACTCTCTTTTCTTTCTTATTCTTTCTCTCTCTCTCTCTCTCTCTCTCTCTCTATATATATATATATATATATATATATATATATATAATTTTCTATTGGTTTAGTACCTCAGTTGACACACTGTATTTCCAATAATAATGTCGGTGAATACTGTGTGTGAGAACTCGAATACATCAGTTATTGCTGCTCGCTTAAGAGAAGCGTACGCCGTGGTAGATAGTGATAGCGGTGTGCTTCATACATCTGCTCCCACAACGCACATGACATCTTCCTCTCTTCTATTAGAGAAATATCCACTTCTACGTGAACTCTTTACGGTAACACTTAATCTTGAAGTGTTGTTGAAGCCGCGTGATAAGGAGGATCTTATTACTATTCGAGAGAAACATCTTAAGTGGTATGATATGATATATAATTCCCTTGGATGGGTGTATGATATTCGAGATCTCCTGCGGTATTGGGTAAAGGGATTGATAGTATATGAATTCCGTGAGATCAATAGATGTATGAATGATGATGATAATAATAATCAATATGGAGAAGAAAGGAAGGAAAAGAAAGATGAAAGAGTATTACGGGCAATTCATCAGGCAGTGGAATTGTCTGAGGCACTGCGTCGTCTTCCACGTCTCGTGTATTTTCTCTTTGGAGAGAAGGAATATGTAAAGAAGAAAGAAGAACTTGATCAAGTATTAAAAGATGCAATAGTGGATAGTTGTAATAACTCAGATATGATTTGTTTGCTGAAACAACTATTAATGGGCTCTCTACAATACAGTCTAAAGTCTATACATGGCTTAAACACGTCTTTGTATAATAGAAACTCAAATCAAGATGAAAATTATCATTCTTATAGTATTCAACAACAACAACAACAACAACAACAACAACAACAACAAGAGTCTTTACTAAAGTCTATTACAGACATTTATACACTTATTCAACTCTTTACATTAGATAAGAATCGTGAAGAAGATATTGCTATGTTGGCCATTTACAGAGGTGTTGTGCTTGGATGTCAACAGTTATTCCCAAGAGAATTGCTATTAGGATTACTGGACCCCAACACCAGTAATGAAGCTCGTCAACGATTTCTTCTCATCACATGGCCTCAATACTGGAAATATCAAGTGGCTATTATATCAGGACTTCCAGTTCCAGATAAGACACTAGTAAAAGTTATCCTTCTACAACTTATATTTCTTTGGGAAGTGGGTAGAAACAACAATAGTGTTTCTATAAGTACATCTCAAAACCTTCGTGTGGATTTACGTCGTCTTTATCTTTTCCATTTGCTTTTACAAATACTTATTCCTATCTTTGATGCTTTATTCCATATAGATAACTCTAATGAGGGATGTTTATTAACCACTACCCCAAATAGTAATGGGGCATCATTAAATACAAAAACACGAACCACAGAAGAAGGTTCACTCGCACAGTTATTGGATATTATTAATGGTATGAAAAATATGGAACTCCCACGTCGACGGATGTTTAGTTTCTGGAATGATTTAGGTATTGGTCCTCCACTTCCATCTCGTACCCCAAATGATATTGGATATGTTGTGATCGCAGATATCTGTAAGGAACTAGTGGATAAGAAACTCTCATTTGCGGTGAATTATCTTTTAACACATACAGATATCTCTAATGAGGAACGGTGGCCGCGGCTGCTGCGATATCTTCTCCGAATGGAACTTGTGTTTGATCGTCTGAGTAATATTGGACATTTAAAACCGTATCTTATCAATAGAAATAGCCCCACCATTACCAGTACTACTACTAACAATAATAATAATAATAATAATAATATACGCACAGGTGAGGGTTGTTTCTACACTAGTGTAAAGAATGCCTTCCATAATCATAACCATCAGAAAAGTGAAATCCCTACACTTATTGATTTCTTTATTGACAGTATTCACATGTATCTCATCTATGGTGGATCTCACGGTATGGAGATGCGACGTGGTGGTCGGGCCATACCCTTATCCTTATCCTTACAACTAAAGAATGATGAGGAATTACTTTCTGTAGTTCGATTTGCATTACGTATATCCTCACCAGATAAATTTCTACGTGTATATAAGGAACTTCTCACATCTCGATTACTTTTACTTGCCACAGAGGGAAATAACGCACGTGATCGTGATGTAGATGCCTCTTCTCTTTTACGTGAGAAAATACAAAAAGAACTCCTTGTTTGTAAATATCTAATTGAACTATGCCCACTGGAACGGGATGAGATATCGCAATTGATTCAAATGTGTAATGATATTGGCTCTACAGATAATGTACAAGAGGCTTATCAGCAAGAAGAATTAAAAAAACAAACAAAACCAATAAAAGAAAGAGGTAATGGAAATCTTATTAAATTAAATGTTCGTTTTCTCTCATGGCTTGCATGGCCTTCATATCCCAATCTCTCTGGAGTCCCACATTCCTTACAAATCGCTATGGATCACTTTGCGGCTTTCTATCATGCACAACATCATAATAGACATCTGGTGTGGCTTAAAACTTCTCTAGAGACTATTATCTTCACAGTGGCATTTCCAAAAGGTAATAAAACCTTTACGGGATCTCTGGAGCTTTTTACTATTTTTCATACACTTGGTGAGGCGGGATGTACTGGCATCACGTGGACACTACTCGCACAGAAGATAGGGAAAGAACAGAATGTACTCCAGCGGGAACTGCGAAAACTCATTGCTGATGGTTTCTTTATATTGAAACAAGAGAAGAATAATAAAAATGTTAATAATAATAATAATAATAATAATAATAATAATAATAATAATAATAA